CACACCTCACCTTACCTCACGGATTTCCTTCTCCGGCGGTAAGGCCCTTTGAAGAACAGAGCTAACAAATTAAAAACCTCCCACGGAAAGGCCATACGCGACCAGCCTCGAGCAGTTGTCCCTTGAACTCTGCGGTCACGCTCCCAGGTCGCTAAGGCCAACATTAATCCAACTTCCTTTTCAGGTTCCTCAAGAAATAACCTCCCACGGTGTGAGCAGCCGGGAAGTGATATCGTCTCTCATACCTGTGACAGCACACGAGACCAAGTTGGTCACATTCAAATCCTTCCCACACCTCCTAATACCACTCTTATCTCCACGACTAACCCTCCTCATGTCTTCTTATCACCTCGCACCGCCAGGGCAAACGATTAGAGTAGGCGGAACTTTATTCTTGGTCTCCTGAAACCACGCTCTAAACTTCATGTTGGAGATTATAACGTCAAAACACTGTGCCAAATAGGACAACAGGCTTCCTTAGCTAGGACTTTAGAATCTCGCGCCATCGATGTGTGCTGCGTCTCCGAAACGCACATACAGGATCCGAGTAGCGTCATTCATCTGACCTCACCATGTCAAAATAAAGAACCAACTTGATTCACACTTCGTGTATCTAGTAGACTTGATCCTGCTTCCCGTGGCCTCCTTTGTGTAGGTGTAGCATTGAGTCCTAGGGCAGAACTAGCTCTCTTAGAGTGGATCCCAGTAGACAGCCGTTTGTGCGCTGTTCGACTGAACGGAACAGTAAGGACTCGGAAAGATAGGGACACTCGTCGTTGCCTCTTCGTCACCTCTGCCTATTCTCCCACTGACTGCAGCTCAGATAATGTAAAAAGTTGAGTTTTACAGAAAGCTCTCCGACCTTCTCCGAAAAGTTAGGTGCTCTGATGTAGTAATAGTGGCTGGTGACTTTAATGCTCAAGTAGGTAAACTAAACGAAAGGGAAAGACACCTGGGTGGATCTTATGGTGTCTTGGCTCAAAGAATAGATAATGGCGACCGTCTGTTGCAGCTATGCTCAGATAACCGCCTGTTTCTAGCGAACACTAACTTTAAGCATAGACAAAAACATCTTTTGACATGGCGACCCCCTAATTCGTCCCAACGTTGGACCCAAATAGATCACATCGCTATCAGCCACCGATGGAGGGACTCGATAGAAGACTGTCGCTCATTCTGGAGCACATGCCTAGATTCAGATCATGCTCTAGTGCGAGCGCGTATTTGCTTGGGTCTTACTGGACGTAGGAAAGATCCTGCAAGGAAGCCTCTTAGGGCCCTACTTAATGATAGTCAAGCTAAGAGTATATTTCAGGAACAACTAGGAAAACAGTTAGGCAGCCATATGGGTGATGCCCACCCCGATGCAGCATGGAATGATATCCGAAAAGCTGTGGAAACAGCAGTGATATCTGCTAGTAAGGTAAACCAGAAGGTTAGGGAGCAACACTGAATCTCAGCAGCATCTATCTCACTGATAAATGCTCGGAAACACATTCCACCTGGCTCTGAACATAATGAAGAGGGGATTCAGCTTAAGCGCAAGCTGACAAGAAGTCTACGCAATGATCGCGAACAGTGGTGGGTAGCGAAAGCAAGAGAGATGGAAAAGGCAGCGGCAATAGTTAATAGCAGACAATTGTTTAGACTCGTTAAGGAAACCGGAATTAGGAACCCGACCGTTAGCGAAACAATCTCAGAGAAAGATGGACATATTATTCATTCTCAATCCAGGAGATTGGATCGATGGGCAGAACACTTTAGGGATCAGTTCAACTGGCCTTCAGCCACACTTCCGTTTCCCACGATTTCCAGTAAACCTGAATGGCAAGTTAATCTAGAGCTGCAGGCCCTGACAGGTTTACTCCTGAGATTTTCAAGGATGGTGGTCTAGTATTAGCAATGAGATTAACCGAGGTCTTAGGTAGAATTTGGGAACTGGACGTAATCCCATCTGACTGGTCTCAATCACTGATTGTGTCAGTTTATAAGAAAGGACAAAAGTCCTCTTGTGACAATCACAGAGGAATCAGTTTGACTAATATAGTGTCTAAAATATTAGCCTCAATAATACTTCGACGCCTAACTAAAGCTCGCGAAGAGCAGACTAGAGAAAATCAGGCTGGTTTTCGACCTGGACGTGGTTGTATAGATCAGATATTCACACTACGTCAGGTTCTAGAACACTGACACACATTCAGACGCCCCACAATGGTAGTATTTCTCGACCTAAAGGCTGCATTTGACTATGTTGATCGTGAGGTTCTATGGCAGTGTTTGTCACTGAAAGGAGTACCAAAGAAGTACATTAACCTTATAAAGGCTCTCTACTCGAACACAACTGGTAGAGTAAGAGCTTATGGCGAATTGTCATCAGAATTGATTACCTCAAGTGGTGTTCGTCAGGGCTGCCCACTCTGTCCATTCTTGTTCAACTTTGTCATTGACGTACTTTTAGAGATAACACTTTCCTCGTCTAGATTTCCAGGGGTTGAACTTTTACCAGGAGGTTCACTTGTTGACTTAGAATATGCTGATGACATAGTTTTATTTGATGAAGACTCTGACAAAATGCAGAGTCTTCTGACCACTCTAAGCAACAATGCAAGCATGTTCGTGATGCGATTCTCTCCCTCGAAATGAAAAATGTTGCTTCAGGATTGGGTTACATCGACACCCGAACTAGTGATAGGGAATGAAGTAGTTGAGTGTGTCGACCGCTTCACTTATCTTGGAAGTCTCATCAGCCACTGTGGTCTGGTGTGTGACGAAATCTCAGCACGGATACAGAAGGCTCTACTAGCTTTTACCAACTTGCGTCATTTATGGCGTAGACGAGATATCCGTCTATCAACCAAAGGACGTGTTTACTGCGCAGCAGTTCGTTCCGTCCTACTTTATGGCAGTGAAACACGGCCGGTAAGTGTACAGGATATTTGTAGGTTACTATAGGTTACCATAGGTGTCTTCGAGACATTGCTCGTATATCATGGGACCATCGAGTAAGTAACACAGTTGTTAGGAAACGGATACTAGCTAAGGATGGCAAATCAATTGATGAAGTAATGAAACTTCATCAGTTAAGATGGCTGGGACATGTGTTACGTATGTCCGACCACCGACTGCCCCGACGTGCGATGTTCAGTGGTATAGAAGTAGGTTGGAAGAAAGCTAGGTGCGGCCAGACTAAATCATGGCACAAATCCATGAAGTCACTGACAAGCGGACTGAGCCATGTTGGTAGATGTAGACTACTTGGTTGGGATGTACGAGACGATAGCAACCGATGGTTAGAGACCCTGAATGACATGGCTCAAAATGGTTTGCAATGGCGCAGGTGCATCCATTCTTTGTGTTCTCCCAAATTCTAATCTTTTGAATTCTTCATGTCTCTTTTTTTCCTCTTTCCAAATTTATTTCACTGTATTATACTCCTTGAATAATATCTCCAAACCCTAATCTTTCCGATTACTGCTTATACTCTTATTACCTCTACCACTATGGGATTTGAATCGACAACTGTATTTATGTGCTAATGTGGTTTGGCAAGTCTAACTGATGTACATATGTTCGAAGTTCTACTTTGTTATTGACTGACTGATTTCTGGTCATCTTATAGCACAGAGTCTAAAATGGTGTGCTTTTTGCGCCCTTTTTTAAAATTTCGTCTTTGTCAAAGAAACATCTAAAATTCTTTCTTCTACTCACTGAATTACTAAAGATTTCTCATTTTTATCATAAATCTTATTTGCTTTTATATATTCGTTGTTCATTTTTGTATAAATTCTCATAACGAAAATTGCGGTCTCATTAATTATTAAAATTATCACTTCCCTATCAGTTTATGAAGTTTCCTAGCGTGGTAACTCAGTATAAATTTCTTTTAGTAAGTTATTTCACTCTTCCAATGTATCATGTTTCCAGTAGTGATAAAATCAATCATAGTAAATTGTTTACTTTATGTACTTCCGATATTTTACACGAACACTCTCTTCTGTAATAATTCACGTATAAAATCACATTTAGAATCAAGTTAATTATATATTTTTTTACTTCTATTTCAATACGTTTACATACTTTTTTTAATTAATGTTGATTAATTTTGATGTGTTAGAATTAACTATGTAAAAATTCATTAAAGAAAGTCAGAGTGTTTAATGTAGAATGCCTTGTTACTGTTTAACTAATACAAATGAAATATTATAATTAAGAAATTTGTATACAATCTCCACTTTCCAATCAATGTAATCAATTATATTATAAATTAGATTCAACTTTTTTAAATAGTCATGTTTGCTTATTACTGTTATTATTGATATCTATCTTACAGGCCACTTCACACTGAAGTCATAAATGTTACACTATCAGCTATCTGAGACTAAATAAATTAGTCTTTCCCTTCAATTACTGATTATTTCATAGTCATTTACATCAAAATGTAACTAGTAGTCTCTGTTAAGTAAATGTGATATTTCCCCCTAAAATATTTTCTTTGTAGTCATAGGTGAGTTTTTGCCTATTGCCAATCCGTGGTTTAACAAGATGTAAAGTTCTGGAGCAGGGTAGCTATGGAATTGGTCATTGGTTCATGTATAATGATTGTATAACAGTTTTTCCAATTATCATTATTATTGACTCGGTGGTCGAACTTTCTCTTGATATTAAAATAAACATCTTCACATAAGTCCAGTGAAATGGTTCAACAAAATCGGTATGAGTACATCAGGATTACTTCATTATAAATGACCATGAATATAATTCCTTTCTTTGTAGTATGTATCTTTAAGTTCCCTTGTTCTAGTTGTTCATGTAGGAATGTTTCAATATTCTGCTTTAAGTCATAATAAATTATTACTAGTTTATCATAATCATTATTTAGTTTTGATTAAAATTTCAGTAAATCTTCATTCAAATAGAATATGCTCATAAATCAATTAATAGTATTCCTAGTTCTTCGGTGTTAAATACAAATACACTTTGAGAATAATAAAAGTCAAAGTCATTAAGGTAATATATAATTCTCAAAAATCTTTCAGTTTTTCTTATGCATTATTAAAATGAGACATTTGTATTAATAACCTGAAATATAGATTATATTAATGTATATATGTATATGTATGTATATAGTTATGTCAATATTGATATATCTAACTATAACTGTATGTACATCCAGTTTCGTCTGGTTCTACTGAACATATTTATTATGGGAAAAAAACTAATGTTGTTGAATGCCATTAAGAAGTATAATAAACGTGTTTCTTTTTAAGAAAGGGAAGTAATATAATATTATTAATAATAAGACAAGAATTAAAAATGGATACAAAAGGAGTAAGAAAAGTGATAAAATGAAATTTGGAACAAAACAGAAACACATAACTCTTTATCAATATTTTGATTTTGTTATTTTTTTTCTTCCTTTATCTCTGTATGAATTTTACATTTTTCCAGTCTGCTACAATTAGAAAGACTAAAAACAAAAGAAAGAAAAGCAGTTGACAAAAATGCAAACTATTTAGTTTTCTTGTATAGATATATATATAAACTTGATTGTTTTTCGTTTAAATAAGTCACTGGGATCCTGGGGTGTTTACACAAGTATTATATATATATAGTAATGTATTCACAGTGTCACAGCTTATACCTAGTCTAGCATCTAATGAATATGTTCATATATTATTGGTTCACTTCTTGTATTCAATGTACCAGTGATTTCGGCTTAAGTGTTATGTATTTCAAGGATGAAAATATGTCATCAATAGTTTATGTATGAGTAGTTCTTGTTGAACTATTAAAAGATAATTAATATTGTCAAATGAGTTTATGAAAATATCCTATTATAAGAATAGATATTAACTTATGAGTATAGTGTTAATGTGGCAAAAGTTTAGTTTCTGATTCACGACGTCCAATATGTAATGAACGATTTGCTCCAATTAAATGTCCTAATGGAATTCCTGTTCCTTCACTAGCCCTTGACAAATAAAGTAGGTTAGAATCACATCTAACTTGTGGTTCACATCGACTCATTTGTCCTCTCCATAATAATTTTTCTTGAAAATTTTCAGTACGATAATTCTCTGGATTGACTGGTTCACCTCTACTAAGATTATTTAAACCTTGATTATTACTGTGATAGTTTGTAATTGATGGATCGAAAAAGTGATTATTATTGTTAGTATTATTATGATTTTTATTGTTATGTATATCGTTATGATAAAAAGGATTATTATAACTGTGACAATTTTGAGTTGTATCAGATAAATTAGATGAATAACATTCAGATGAAAGTGATGAAGTTGGACTGACTGTACGTGAAGTTGATTTACTTGTGTGTCTACCATTCGATGGTTTCATTTTTGATGGTCTATGCTCTTTACGTAATTGATCAAGTTCCGATTCTAATTGTTCAATAGATTTTTCTTGTTGTTTTATCACTTCTGTTTTAGATGCTACTACTTCTTCAATTTCTTGACGTTCTAGTTGAAGCATCTTTTTCAATTCTTGTAATCTATTTTTTTTAAAAAAAAACACAACATTTCAACAGAAATGACAAGAAATAAAATTAATTGACAAATAAATGTAGACAGTAAATAGTACAAAAATAATGTATCTACAAAAGTCTAATTATTACGTTACCATTTGTTCAGATTATGATTTTATAGAAAGTAGATTGAAGTGTATGACATTTTAAAATGTAGGTAATGCAGCAATTTAGGTAATGTTATATATCTTGTTGAAGTTTTGTTCTCTGAGCTGAATGGTTTGGTCGTGGAGCTTTCATCGTTCTTCTGAACGAAATCATCAGCACAAACTTCTAATGTTATGTATCATATACGTCTTAAGATAAGATTTTGTAATAAATAAAATTAGTGTAAGTTGGTCAGATGACTAATTTGTAACTTTATTGATAACCTTAAAAGAAATCAAATTAGACGACTTTCACTATAGACGGACAACTATGTTGAACTGTATAACTGTTTCTTTTTTCGTATTTTCAAATTTCACTGCATGATATATTGGACTTTTAGGCTTTCAAATATACACACTACTGATCAGTTATTAAGTTGAAATCGATTGTCAACTTTCGATTCACTACTTAGTACAATTATAGAATAACACTACCGGTAAACATTCAGCCTGACTTACAAATTGATCGTCTCCCTAGGTCGATATTTTCTATGAGAAAATCACTGAATCCTTCTTGATGTACTGATTTATTACCTAATTTAGTATTAAAATAGGGTGCGAATTATTTAATGATAGCTAATTATTGCTCGTTGATTTTTAGTACCTTCCAAACCCATACTTTAAAGTGAAAATAACTTTAAATCTAATTCAATTCTCTTATATAACATCATTGAGATTTTTTGTTGTTAAGGAAAAGTGAATATTCAGTTTTAAATCCTGTCATGAGTAAATTTCACTTTTTGGGGATCTTTTTTTCAAAAAAAAACAGAAAAAAACAGATATTTTATAGTTTAAATGTTACTAAGCTTAGACGATAACTGATTATTAGCCCCATAACTATATACATGTACATCAGATGATTTTTCTCATTAAACAGATATTTCTTTAAATTCAATAACTATTTCTAGATGTTTTATCTATAATTACAATGTTCATTGTTTTGATGGTTGTTACTACAGTATTTCAAGTGTAATTTATGCTTCATTATCATGCTGGTTGATGTATGTGTATACTTGAGAACAAAAAGAAAATATTTTTTTAAGAAAATTGATACAGTATGAAAGTATATTTTATTAAAGCACTTAGTCCGTTTGATAAATTTCGATAGTGTAATAAGAAGACGAAGATTATCAGAACTATGTGATATATTTGCGCAATACATTTCGAACAATCTGGTCACACATATACTTGTTAAGAACATTTATATATAAAAATAAAAGATCAACTAGACTGGAAACGGGGTAAGAGGAGATAAGGATAATGATAAGAGTAATAATAATAATGTGAACACAATTTGAAACCTAATCACTCTGGATAATAAGCCAATATTACCAGGGTAGGTTTAAGGTGAGAACAAACTGTTTCTGAATACACAAAGGGAGTTTGAATTTTCGTACGGCTAAGGCTTCAATAAACCTTAGTATACGCACTTTTACACTTTTATACAACACCACAAAAGCCGAGTTAAGATCAATCTTATGGCAGAAGGTTGAGAAGATCGAATAGAAGAGAACGAGAACAGATAGTGATTGATGTGGAAATGAAGGAACAATCAAGTCTGAGATAATTGTCTGACATTTTTGCTAATAAATTATTTACTGTATAATTCTGAGATTTTACAAAGATATTCTGTAATTTCGTATTCAAATACATTTGATTATCTCCACTAGTGTTCCCATTCACTATAGCGTTGCAAACGAGAACAGTTATCGTGTGATCAAAGTCAGGACGACTGATAATGTTACGCGAATACAGCTAAAATTCAAGGACTTTCAGTGGTATTATAATCATCTTATCGAGTGATTAATTGATATTTATAATCATAAGAAAATTAAATTTCTTCAAGCATAATTTGAAGAATGTTGTTACAGCAATTTATATTAGCTATCAACTAGCATAAAGAGTCTAAATTCTCCAATAGAATATTCAATACCAAATAAATGTATACTAAAGCATGGATATGCTAGTAAATAGGTTGACTTAAAGGGTTTTCTTAACATGATTCCTACGGTTACTAAAAACACTGGGAAATCAATTGATCATCACCGAGATTGTTTATTTCTCATACCATAAGTACATTTAAACGCTGAATATTATTAGAGTACTTTCGTTCTGATACCTGTACTACAAATAATAACCGACCTGTCTAGTTATTACCACATAATTATCTTAGTTATTTAATATATGTATCGATGCATAATATATCCATAACATGTAAATACAGTATGATAAGTAACTTCTCCCAAAACAGTGGAGTTTTTCACTACAGTTCTAATGGATATGATGTGGGTTCCACCGAGATCTGTTTCATGGTGAGGCTTAGTAACATGAAAACTCACCTAAAATTTCGATATCTTTCGGCAAATGTATTTTATATTAGTTTTTTTCTTAGAATTGGGACTAAAATAATCTACTTACTTTTCAGCTAATTGATCCAGACTTGGAGATTCAGACAAATGATTTTGTCTTGCGGAAATTCTGCTTGGTTTGTTATTTTTTGTGGTTGTTTTCTTTGTGTATTCACTTGTATCTTCAGTAGTACATTCTGTGATTCTATCATCACAATCGTCATAGTCATAATCACTATCGCTTGTACTTGAACGATCAATAGTTATAGATGCAGAATGAGTAGGAACTAATGTTCTACCAATAGCACACTCACTGGTATAATTATCATCATCTTCATCTCCATCGTCATCATCATCATCATCATCATCTTTACTTATTGAATTATTATTCGTTTTGTCTGAATTTTGATATGGACACTGCGCTTTTTTCAACACACGATCTAACGGTATAGGTGTTGAATTATCGGATTTTGAGTTTATTATTTTTCGTTTTACTTGACGATAACTATTCTCATCAGTACTTTGTCTTGATAAATTTCTATCAGATCTTCCGTTGTTTATATGGTTATTATTTCCATTGATATTGGCATTATTATTAGGAATTCTATTTGAAGGGTTTCTAATTCTATGTACAGATTGTGTAGAATGACTTAAAGCATGAGATAAATTTGGGTGATGACAACAATTCGGTTCAACTTTTTCAATACAATCATTTAACTGACGTAATTGTTCACGATATTGACTTAATAACTCCTCCATGTTTTCTGACTGTTCAATGTCATTTATGTGTATTTGTTTAAATATCATATCGGCAGAATTAAATTTACATGGTAAATATTCTTTTTGTATAATAAATGTATCCCATGATTTTTCTTGTTTTGTATTTGAAATAAATTCATTACTATTAGCTGAACTATTTGAAGTAGCATTATTATTAGGCTCTTGTTGATTATGTATTGGTTTTACATTTATAGGTGCTTCCGGTGATAGCTTACTGTCTACGTGTAACTTAGTCAGCTATTAATGTTATAAAATTAAAAAAAATGACATGCATTACGTTTAGGATTTTACATGGTTAAACAATGTATTGTTTAAATTCTATGTAATCATATGCTCAGTTTTTTTCTAAGTAATGAGATCTTAATTAACTTTTTGAAGTTCATTTCTTATTCTTTAACATATATACGTCGTAAAAACGTAAATAAAATTAATCTTATGCTAATCTTAATCTAGAATTAATCAGTATTATCATATTATGCATCATTCCTGTAAAGTTTAAACATTTGACCTTTTACATAGAATAAGCAATTCATTAGTTTTAATCAATGGATCTTTCTTGAAATCACTGATATTTAACATCTCTTTGAATGTTATCAAGTTTTCCAAATCTATTTATAAGATAAGTTATGTTATCAATAAACCATCATTATTGATTTTAATTTATCAAAATGGGTTTTGTGGAGATTTTTAGAAATTTCACAGGTTGAAATCATCAGTCAATTGAAGCTAGACCACCATGGAAAACCTGGAAGCACTGGACATTAACACCGTTGGATGCCGGCTCAGTGGTCTAGTGATTAAGTGCTCGCGTGCGAAGCCAGTAGGTCCTAGGTTCGAATCCCGCGGGTGCGAGATAGTGGATGCGCACTGCTAAGGAGTCCCATACTAGGACGAAACGGCCGTCCAGTGTTTCCAGGTTTTCCATAGTGGTCTAGCTTCAATTGACTCATGATTTCAACCTGTGAGATTTTAATTTAATGACTTGCTTTTTTTTCTTTTCATTTATTATAAGTTAGTTATAAAGATGTGAATCAATTAGTAACTGTATTGAGGATTCTAATTAGAATAAAATTTAATCTTTATTAGATGTTAATCATGTAGAAATTTATAATTAGGGTTTTAAATGAAATTTAATCATTATTTGATATATTAAATTTTACTTCTAGGATTAGTAAATTACCTGTATTCACTTTTAATGAATGTCGATGACCATACTACGTTGAAAGCATTGGTTCTTATCCGATTACCTCAGTTAATCGACGTTGGATCTGGTCAGTACTTACATTGATGAACAATACTCTTAATTGATAATCTAACTTGTCTATATAAATGGTATCTATTTTATTAGCTGAATATTGTTCAGTATATTCAGTTGTATATAATGCTTCTTATTGGAAAAATATTATAGTGTTTTAATCTTTGTAAGATTTATATTCTTTGCAAGTAGTTTGCATCAATAGATATTTGAAGATCAGTTACCGATTCGAGGCACCTCATTAAAAAATCTAGTAAACATGAATTAGTGGTAATCGGTAAACAGATACTGGTACTAAGTTTTCATTATACTTAAAGTATCTTTTTAAAGAAATTTTTAGGGAAAGACGAACAATAAATCTGTTTACCTTAATGTAATGAGGAGGACCTTAATTTACCAACTTACAAGTTGAGTTTCAGTAATAAAACGTTTTTCAACTTTAAACATCCATAAGAAATGTTATGGCTAACATCAGACTCGTGAACTGCAAACACGAGAGAAACAAGCTGGCTTCAGACCTGGTCGTGGCTGCATCGACTGACTATGGCTAATATATGTAATGTAATAATAGTTTTAAGTTATCATTTAGTCTTCTGGTGTTTATCGTCTAAAAAGTATCTCACTATCGTATTGTAATTCACTATGCAGGATATTTTATTCGGTAGTTAAAGCAAGTTAACTGTTTTGTTCTGGGTAGTATTTTAAGTCTAGTGATACATTTAGAATCATACAATGGTTTTCTAAATATACGCTAAATACTCTTCAAAAACGTTTGTTATCTTGAATGGAACTGTGAGCATCTGGGCTACGTGTTCCTGCCATTTAGATATTTCAACAAGCTATATATTTTTTGTTTGTTTTAATATATCATTATGTTTATTAATCGCATAACCTATTCTGCTGCGTTTCTGAAAAGTGTGCAACCTTTCGTTGTCAAAGTTACAAAAAACTCAATAAGAGACAATGTGGTTGCTGGCAATATACAGCGAAAAGAATGTACATTATTCAGATGTTCATTTACTGAACTGCTAACATCTAACTGGCGATCACTCAATATTTATCGCCAGGACCGACCAAGATGAAAGAAATGGAAACTTGTTGAAATACTTTACTCTGAGAATTCTATGTTGTACCAAAAATATAATATTGAATAAAGCTGATGATAATAATAAATAATTAACAATGACTTCTACATAATAAGATGTTCATTATTATTTAGTTATTTTCAAGTACTTTCCTTGTTAACTGTTGTTTAAAATTCTTTTTGACAAATAGTGATACATTAAAAATACGTTTATTTATAATGTCTAGTGTATAACCTTCAAAAATCAAGACAGTAAAACTATGTTTAAATCACTCAGCTTGTACTTTATTCTCAGCGATTTCAGCCTACGGTGTAGTATATTCCCGTATCATTTGAACTGGTTAAAATAAAGTTTCATATGAAAGACTGATCTTGTTAGATAACCAGTGAAAACCAATAAGTTGTTTCGGTCTTGAATGAGATTACCTAGAAACGTGCATTCACAATGCAATAAGGGATAGCATTCAGGCCCCTCAAGCATTGCAGAAGTAGATCAAACTCTAGACAGTTGAGTTGAGACCTAACGGTTTACATTTCTAACTTCAGCCAATTTTTTTATGTTGCACGACTGGTGGAGTTCGACCATGTCAGCCGTGAAATAAGTCTCGTCAATAGCAAGGAATGATGATCACGCAACACCAAGAGATAACTGAGGTTAGAAATGTAAACCATTGGGTACCAACTTGACTGTCTGCATTTCAGTCACTTGTTACGAAAACTGAAGGTCCTGGATTTGAGTCCTGGTAGGATTCTGGATGTATATTCTTGGAGATTCTCACATCAAAACGAAAAAGCTGTCCGATGCTTCCTGGTTTCTAGTAGTTATTTGATAAAGTCGGTTCTTGATTTGAAACTTCAATTTCAATATTCTTTACAACACCCTATATTAATAATTACTTAGTATGCTTAAAAAATATGTTGTTTCTTAATATGCTAAAATAAAACTTCATCTAATCACTTACTGATGGTTTTATGATGGTAGTCGCTTCTGATTGCCTTCTGTTATCAACACTCGAAATAGGATTATTGTTTGAGAGACTATGATGTCTTGGTATTCCACTTCTAGAAGAATGTGAATTACTATTTGTGTTTCTTTCAAAACTGGTCTGACTTTTATGATTCCATGATGTAAAGGTTTGATTATTTAATAACTCTGAAATATTCTGTAGTAGGTCTGGTAATTCAGCAATTTGCGGTGTAATCTAAAACATGAATTTATAAATGGATTAAAAAATAGACTTTTCGAAAATCTGCCAAATGAACATTGAAATAAGTTATATTTGATAACTGCCATTAGTTAGAATAGTTTTGAAATGCTGATATCAACAAATAGAGATTTTACCTTATTTTGAATTTTTCATCAGTGAATGCTTCATACCCTAGATCTACTGAATTCATGGTTAACGGTTATTATTCAGGAGTTCGATCAGAATTCATTGGTTCACATTTTCTTTTTTATACAGTTTCTGTTGTTGTTGTTGTTGTATGATCTATCCTCATTTCTGGGTTGACTGATTTTACCTTTACAGCCACTCACTAAAATCTTATGATATCAAAGGCTTTTGTTAAACTTTAAAAATGCATATAGTCCAACTCTTTATCGATAGTGGTGTTGAATGTTTATTTTTCAGATCATTATTAGATCGCTAGGAAAAATCTACTTAAAACTCTTCCAGTACCATCCAATTTATTTGAGAGATCATCACTTCTTATATTGAATAAATGAGAAAATATAAATTTTTGATCTGTAAAATTAGAATAATTAAGTGGTTTGAATAATTTTTTTCTGGTTAGTGTTTTTTAGAGAGTTAGAAAAATTTAGAATGGATCTGATGCAGATGTGAAGGCGCAGATCGGCAAAGCAAGAGCGGCATATATACAACTGAAAAACATCTGGAATTTAAAAAAAAACTGTCAACCAACACCAAGATCAGATTTTTCAATCAGTCAGACAGTCAGTCAGTTACAACATAGGACCAGGCGCACAAATGCATCGGTCCAAGTTGCCACAACTCATTAGCACAGCAAGACGAACACCGGATTCATAGAAGCAGTTAACTCAATGGTGCAATTAATAAAGGAAATATTTTATGTAAGGATATGGTACAGAAAAAAAGAATTAGTTCGTAGAAAGAAAGATATGAAATAAATTTAGTCTCATATTTTAAGGGAAGACAGAAAGTGTATACACCGATGCCATTGTGATTGCATTTTCAATACAAATGTCAAGACAGTTCTACTGTATGGGGCGGAAACCTGGAAAACTACGAAAGCCATCATTCAGAAGATACAAGTTTTATTAACAGTTGTCGATACAAAATACTTCGGATCTATTGGTCACACATTATGGGAGAGAACAAAGCAGATTCCAATAGAGGAAGAAATCAGGAAGAAGTGTTGGAAGTGGATAGAACACACGTTGAGGAAAGCACCGAACTGTATCACAAGGTAGCCTTCACATGGAATCCTCAAGGCCAAAGGAAAAGAATACGACCAAAGAACACATTTTTTTCGATAAATGGAGACAGACATGAGAAAAATGAACAAAAAATTGGATAGAACTGGAAAGGATAGCCTAGGACAGAGTGAGTTGGAGAATACTGATTGGCGGCCTTTACTCCACTGGGAGTAAAATTAGAATATTTTTTTAGTACTATAGATCTGTTCATTCTTTTTATGTAACAAAAATATAAAACATAATACCATGATATTTATAAAAACAAAATTCATTCACTATTGAACTTACATTAATTTTATTAATATAAAGATTAAGTAATTGAGTCAGTTTTGCAAATTCATATCCTAATTCAATAAATTCATGACAATCAGAATTAGTTGATAAATGATAATTAGAATCGGTATTTGAAGCAATTGATCGAAGAAATTTATACATGATTGGTATTTCTGGTTCAATAAATGAATTTAATACTTTCATATGAATTTCTTTATCTTCAAATAATGTTAAATTAGCTAAATTTTGTAAAACTTTTGCAATTAATGTTAAATTTCTAGAAATACGATTATTTTCTGGTATAGATGATGTTAAACCAAATAATACTGGACCATGTATAGCTGGACAAATAAAACGTAGAAATAAACAACTTGAAATTAAATGTGCCGCTGATTGAACTCCATGTGTTTCTTCAATTGTTAATGCTAGTGCAGTGAAAACATCACGTAATTCTCTATTTTTTTTTAGGAAAAAAAAGTAAGCAAATCATTTTAAGATTATGTTAGATTAATTAAGTTAATGGTATATAAAAACTAACAAATATCTCTATTAGTAATGAAGGATCAGTGAAAATTTGAGTTGGCCTCCTCGATGTGCATTTACGAATTCAGCTACTCCTGTGGAGATAGCTATATCGGGCGTACTACCAACGAATGAGTGAACATCTACCAGCTTGGTTTATAAAGGGCCAAATAACAACAATTCGCAGTTCTATCTTGGCATATCTTATTGATAGCGGTCATGCTGTAGATAAATCGAAATCATTTCGAGTGATCTTACGTATACCTTCATCATTTTCCAACGGAGTTCGTTCCCGCCTCCTACATATAGCTGAAGCTATAGGAAATCGTACATATAACCCCAATTTAAGTGTACAGAAGAAATTCGTAACCTCCCTATCCATAACTTACCAAACGATTTTCTTTTCTAATTTTTATCCTTGTTATTATTTATTTATCTTATTCTATTTTTGCTACCATTAACCTTATTTTCATATCCATTATTTGTTTGCAATTTTCCGCCTCTTTCCGTTTGTATTATTCACTATCTAATTATTTACACACTTCTTATTACGTAATGATTTTAATGTTTTGTGTTGACTATTCCAAGTCTATTTACCTACATATGACCTTCTATTTCCAACGTTAAACTATTGATAAGACTTTTGTTATCGTATTTTATTATTCCTACTACTATCAGTACACCTGTCTTCCTACTATCAACATGTATTTTTATCTATTATGTGTAGAGACTTATTCTATTTCATTGTGATTATTGACCCATATTGCCTTGATTGGTTTAACATTTTCGTATAAATATTCATGTATATTAGAATAAAGCCTGATGACGATCTAATTGAAAACAATTGTTCGCTTATATGTGTTTTACTTAAGATTAGCACAGGTTTTGTATGATGCCGAAAAGAAGTACTCACTTAATATGACAGATTAATATTACATCAATCTATTCACATCTTAAAAGACATTTAAATTTAAACAGATACTACAAATGATCATTTTGTCCCTGTTTAATTTAACAATTGTCCTGTTAAGTAAATCTGCAACTGAATTATGAGTATGAAAAATATGTTTCCACGCCGCTTGGAAACACGTTTTGTGTCAAACAACTGTAAACTAAATAGAATGATGTAAATTCTGAAATATTTGAAATACTGTTGCAACTATGTAATTAAATCATGTTTTATGTTGAAAGTGTCTTACAAGTTTAATGCAAAATAAGATTGAGTAATAATAAATAGAACGACATATATAAGCGGACAATATCGTATTTAATTAGATCCTCATTAGGCTTTGCTCTAATATACAGTAATGAACATCCATCTTATCTTTAATAACACATATTCTAGACAGATTGTTGAAATAACAGTGTGTTCATCTGTAGATCTTACCCTTACTGATTTTTTTTCTTGCGCAGCTAGAAAATGGACCTCTCAAAGGGGTTATAAATAAGCTTGACATTTATTGCCGTTATATTGATAATACTTTCAATATCGCCGATAAGAACATTGGAAAGGAACTTTGAGAGCTATTTAATAATAAGTATTTAGCAATCAAATTTACGTGTGAAGAGGAACTTGGTAATAAACTAAATTTCCATGACGTTTTGTTAGGAAGAAAAGAAAGTGATTCTGTCAGTGGCAGTGTCTATAGGAAAAGTTCTTCAGCAAGTCAGTGCACATATTCCTTGGGTTTTGTACCTATTCGTTATAAGCGAAAACTAGTTAGATGTCTTGCAAATAGAGCTAGGAAGATATGCTCAGACGATAATATAAACAAGAAGCTAGAGCTTATACATAATATGTTGATTGAAGTGGGTTATGCGCAAGGCTTCCTGAAGAGACACTTGCATGTAATAAACAAGAAATTAGCGACACCAACGGTCAGTAAGGACCCCATCTTCCTGAAGCTGCAATTCAATGGAGATATAGTTCGTGATGTGCTACGGGATAGAGTCACTAAAGTAAGGAAGAGAACGTTTAATGCAGCTAAACTCTGTCTACCTTTCTACAGTCAGCCTACGGTTGTCTCTGGTTGTGTTCTCATTCACAACAGTGTGCAACGTTATTTCTTGTTTTTGAAAACGAGTTTGGCCAAATTTATTTAGTGAAGTAATTATCTATTGTTAGTAAGCATGTTTTAGTCCAATGACGTCAAGAATTTAGGTCTTAAAATAATTTTTTGAATTTTTTACTACAAGTAGGTTCTCATCACATGCTTATCATCTGATATGTTTGTACTTTCAGCAAATTATTAGGTATTACCAGTCATTATTTCTAATGAATAAATATTTATTTGAACTTACTTCGGTAGTTTACATTGACTTGATTCAATTCTTCGCCAGATCATTGCAACATTTTTTAGTAAAGCAGTACGATTTCTTTCTAGTATAGCAGATAATGTATTTCGGTTGTTTGATGCAGTAGATGAATCATTAGAAGCTCCTAATCTAGAAGGATCTATTTCGAAATCATCTCCAATAACAAGTAATTGGTCGATTACTGGACCAAGAATGTATCGTAAATACTAAAAGATAACAGGAAAAAAAGTAGAATATAATACATTCTTGTTGCTTTGTACATAATGGTAATGAAACTGATCTGTCTTCTGTACGAAACTGTTTAAAAAACCACACTAAGTTTGTTTAAAGTTGTATTCTGATTTAGTTAAGCGATTCAATGATTCAATAATTACACAACCAGAAGAGATAGAGTATAATTTTGAACTACATAATATCAAATAGATGTCCATATATATAACATATGCCAGTCGTCTTAATTCATTAATGATATCGGTGAAGAGAAATAATGAATTGAGAGATATTCAGTAACGATGTAGTGTTCAATTAAATAAACGCAAGTTGATTGATTTTTTTGAGGTAGTGGTTTATAAGTGAACTCAATGTCAAATATATAACCCCTGAAGTGGCTCTGTTCATATACTACAAATTTCATGTAAGCTCTTCAATTTCAATACAGTCTAGTTCTTTATTAAAAAAATGATTTCCAGTGAAATTTCCAAGCTGTTATATGAACAAAATAAACCATGAGTTACGTATTACAGATAATCAAAATGTTTAGAGAGTTAAAAGACCAAGTAACTACTAAAGAGCTTGTAATTTCTGAAGATAGAGATGTGAGAGTTCAAATAAATAATGTTTTGATATTAAACAGTAGTTTAAACACCTTCATACATCAAAACATAGAGTACTTAAAAGACATTTTCATTGCAAACTTTTAGTATTTTTTATTGTTTTACCAGTGTTACTCATTTTCGCAACACTTATGAAAATATTGATGCTTTCCAGTTAAATGTTTTGTGTCGGATTTTTGCTAAAACGTCTTAAAGTCTCATAAGTTTTAACCATTACATACATCAAGAACAGGAAATAATGGCTAATTTTTTATTCACGGATTAAACTACACACGAGATAACATGTCGAATTTGAAATGCCTACGCTCAAACTATAAGAATTGTTGCTGGAATACATTATGAAATATCACTTTTAATCAAAAGATGTGATTTGTTAAGGCTGCCAACAGACGAAGTTTCATGTATAAATTGAAAAAAAGAGTATTTAAATCAACAATTGCTTTCAATAACTTCATGATCAGACTCTACGGTTTTAAGTCCATAGTTATTGCGTTATGTTACAAAAACCGAAGTAAGGAATGCTGGAACTAAAATATAATGTTGAATTAAGCCATTAATAATAATAATAAATTAAAGTGTCATATGTTAAAAATGATTAAGTTTATCCGAGATGATGAAGGTTTATAGCTTAGATGGATGATTTAGGTGGTTTTGTTTTCTGAGCAGGATGGTTTGGTCGTGAAGCTTTCATCTTATTTTCGAACAATATTACCAGAGCAGACTTCAAACTGAAATGAAGTATCCGAATTTCTCCACGCATGACTGACAGCTTGTCCTGTGGACCTCGATCTTGATTAGCTATTTTTGACTTTTAACCGGTCATTTTCTACCTTTCTTTTGATTGTTTCTTTCCTTGATTTGATTCTTGGTTCTACATTTGTCCATGATTTTTCTGATTGGTTGATAGATTGGATCGATTTCAATGTGTTCGATCGCTGATTGACCTCAGTGCCAAGCTTCTATAAATTCTCTGGTGCTTTTAGTGTTCTATGTACATAAACTGGATGTTATCGATCCCTTACCCCCCACTACCAATTATTTTTTTTGTTAATATCTGTTCTACCTCCTCAATCTACACACTTATCTTTCCCAATTCACATGTATTTCTTATCATAATTACCTAGATTACATTTCACTGATTACATATTGTATTCACACGACTTCATTTTTATTGTTATTATTATCTCCATTAGCCAGACGAAATTCTCTGGTAAGACTATAATTTATGGACAACCTTTTAGCAATGCTAAAATGACCTTGTAATGTTCGCCTATTTACCAGGATTAAATGAGAGTTATAAATTAGTGTGAAGAAATTAGGATTAGGATTTACAGTTCGATGTTAGGGTTAGGAATTAGATTTGGTGTTTTCATCATGAACTGACATCAGCTAAAATGTCAAGATGGTATATGGCCAAAATAGTGAATGAGCTTCGTGCCAAATCCAAGATCTGCTATCTTAAATGTGATTGGTTTTGTCCATAAATTATAGTCTCACCAGTTCTCCTAATATGAATTTTATCCACGTGGTTTATTTTATTAACATTATATAGGTCTAGAGGTTGAGCGTTCGCGCGTGAGACCGAAGGTCTTGGGTTCGAGCTTCAGGTGATGGATCTTGGATGTGCACCGTTGAGGAGTCCCATACTGTGATGAAACGGCCACCCAGTGCTTCTAGGTTTCTAGTGGTGGTTTAACCATGATCGATTCATGACCACAATCAAAACTCATCTATCTCCACAACCCTATACTGATAATATCATGTTGACTAGTACTCGACACCTTACGACGAATCATTCTGACTGTTGACCTTGACACCATTCTTCCAGATTTCAAACGACATAATTTAAAACATTTAAGCCGTAACAGACACGAACGTCTATCATTTTCATCATATGACATTGTTCATTTCACTAGAATACCTTATTTAAGTCTTTGTAAAATAACAATAATTATGGACTTAAAACTGTAGAGTTGGATCACGAAGTTATTGAAGTAAACGGAATATAACCAGAGTCATAAAATAAGAAAGGTCGGTTTGGTAAGGCGTTCACTTTTCGGTTACTTCATTTTCGAAGCTGTACAATGACAGATATATACTTATTTTTCAAAATGATAATAATTACAATACTGGTGATCTATATTGTACCGAAATATAATATTAAATAAAGCCAATAATAATAATAATAATAACAAAATTCTGTTAAACATCATAACAGTGAGGTCGAATAAACAAAGGCATTGAAACGTTGGTTTTTTAATTAGGGATGTTGTTGCTGCCTCGAATATCAATCATGACGTTAGATGGGAAATTATAATTGGGAAAGGAAGGCTAAGTATAATAAGATAAAATGGTGAAATTGAGATTAACTATGATCAGGAGGATCATAGTCATTGAAAACAAAGTTCATTTAAATATTCTTTGATTCTGAACATTTAAATTGATTGAAGTTGGTTTCGCTTGAATTTTCAAGAATGCAATTCACTAATTTCATAAGTATTCATAAAAGTTAGCCAATCAACTTATGGATAACTATGTTACTAAAGTTTTCCACATACTCAAAATACTTTTAATTATACTCTGAATGTGACCTTAAATTGACTTGTACTAGACAATGCACTCTATCGTAATAAGAACAATGGATGAAAAAGTATATGGTCCTAGTTTCGAATCAGTTCCGAACAATTTTACTAAATTGAAAATTATTGAAGGTTTGAGGTGATTGTTTCATTTTATTCACAATTTTGATTTTAATAGGCATCATAATAATATATGACTCAAAAAATAAGGTTATTATTTTACATTACTTATGAGTAACTAAAATGCATTTACAAAATTAGATGTAAGAGAAATCATTTGTTGGATTCGTTCTGGAGTGCTATTGTACTCTGGTCATAAAATGCTCCGCACACTCAATGAGTTACTCCGATGCTATTTGAAAATGCACGGAATGTGCTCAGAGAATGGAAATTTTATGGATCCACGATCATTAAAGCGTCCTTCAAAACAAAGAAGGAGGGAATTACAATGAATGTTATCCAATGTTATGCGTCCATCAATGATAGCGATGAAGATCAAATTTACAAGAGTCTGCAATCAATCATAGTGAAGTGACCAGGAAAAGACCTGATAATCCTGGTGGGAAAGCTAAACGCCAAAGTCGGGATGGACAAAATCAGGTATGAATATACCATGGGACGACATGGACTGACTAAGAGAAAGGAATGGGAATGGTGAGAAATTTAGGAATTTACGTACATTCAACAAACTGGTTATGGGCTGCAAAATATTCCCATACGAACGCATATACAAGCTACGTCTGCCGCACTGGACCACACTTAAGAGATTCGGATCGATCACATTTGAATCAGTAAAAATCCAGAAGATCAATGGGAGACTAGAGAACCAGGAGATGAGCTGACATAGCTTCAAATCACCACCAACTGGTGGTTACCAAGATGAAACTGAAGCTAAAGAAGCATAGGACAACTGGACAAACAGCGGTACAAAGGTTCAATACGACCTTCCTACGAGATACTAACAAACATAACAAATTGAAGACAGCTCTCAACAATAGGTTCCAAACCTTACAAGATCTATTTGAAGAAGCTGATATTGAGGATAACTGGAAAGGGGTTAATAGGGCACCAACCTAGACATTACAGGAGGTTCTTCTTGGGGACGTTAGATCCCCAGAGCTCACTTGGGAAAGGACCCAATTTTGTAATTTTATTTGGGAAATTTGAATTTCTTTGTTTTAGCACCAAAAGCGCTCTTGTCACCTTCATGCCGTATTTTCCACTGAGAAATATCTTAAATTCTATTGGTCCGTTGCGCCTTTTGGTATGCTATTTGGTAACTTTCTCCAAGGACGGTTTCGTACTGTATATATACGTTTTGAATTGTGTTTGTTGTTATCGCTCGTTTCTGACTGTTTGCAGAATATATCTCCCCATTCTAAGCTTCGACTTCTCCCTCTAGTTAGCGGGGCTGGGACTCATCAATAGCTAGCATACTGGTCTTTGGTCATCGAGTCTTGTTTCTCGTTCGCAGATTAAGTGGACTCGTGGTAGCTTCAACCCTGGCAGTTCTGGATCTCAAAAACACCATTATATACAATGGGTCTCTATCGAAACATTAGACAAGATTCAAGAAGGCAAGAATAAGAAGTCAGCAGTCGACATCATTCGAACAGGAGCAGAGAAGGCCAAGGCACTGACAGAGTACACAGAAGGAAGCAAAAGAGTAAAGAGGAGCATTAGGACCGACAAGTAGAAATATCTAGGAGAGTTAGTGATGACATGGGAAGAAACTGCAACAGAAGGAAATATGAAACAATTATATGATACAACGAAGAAACTCGAAGGGAAATA